GCCTTTGGATCCTTTTTCATACCGATTGTAACAAGTAACGGCAGTGTGCCCTAGGATCCCACAAAATTGACACTTAGGTTGGTGATTGTCGTTCCTACCGCTACGACCACCATTGTCGCGACGACCACCACCACTGCCACGGGACTACCCAGACTGCCCGAAGCCACTCCCGCCGCCACGTGCCAAGCCGCCCTTGCCCCGTTGCTGCTGCCCGGATTTCTGCACGGAAAAGGATGCCGGCGACGCATTCGGACCACACTGCCGGCGGCGAACTCCTCGGCGCCAAGGAGATCTAAGAGCTCATGAAGTGTGACCGGTGTTCCTCGGACGTTAAGAAAAGAGACAAGACCCCAAAATTAAGGCCGTAAACCCCGAAATACGTATAGGTTTTGTTCTTCAAGAGGAACATGCCATCAACGAGGGTAAGATCCTCTATGAGAACCTGAGCTCGGCCAATATAGTTGGCAACAGAGGCGTCACCCTGCTGAAGAGTTTGGAGCTTCCCGAGAAGATTCAATGAGCGAGACCAAGACGATGAGGCGAGAGCAGAGGTAACGACAGTCCACACCACCCGACTCGTGTGATGCCCGATCGCCAAGGGAATAACTTCATCCGATAACGAGGACATGATCTTGGAGAGGAGAGCCTGATCTTGGCGAACCCATGCGAGACTATCGGGGTTCGGTCATAGCAATGCTCCCTCTTCGTCGGTCGAAATCATGGCCGGCGGACAAGGGTTTGATCCATCAATAAAACCCATTAGATCATGTCCGTTGAGAAAAGGAAAAACTTGAGCTCGCCAAAATAAGAAGTTCTAATAAGTCAGTTTTACACTAATAAAGTGGTGGGCAGTGGACAGGGTGGTCACGGTCGCAGTGACCAATGAGATAGCAGCATTGGAAACGGTCCGTTCGGGGGAATTGACAGATCCGTCGGCCATGGGAAACAAACCCTAGCTAGCTGATACCAGATGAGAATTGTAATATATTGTATTAACAGTGATGGATTACAAGAGTACATGACCTAAGTATATATACAAGAGGAGTCGGAGGGAGACTAGGATTAAGAATCATAAGTAGACTCAAATACATAGATAGAGTCCTAATACTTCGCACATCCAAGAAACCCACGACTAAAAAGCTGTTTATATGTACTTACCGTAGCTTTTAGCTATTGTGGATATCATTTGCTCTCCGGGTGTCGATCTGAGAAGATCGGTTGATCAAGGGCATATCTGTTATTTTTATGAACAGATTTTGAAACTACACGGTCCAGAACGGGACTACACCGTCTTTGTCAATGAGAGAATCAACAAATGTGATATATCCAAAAAGATAAGTATATATTTTTCCATTCTTATAGTTATTTCTATTTTGTATAACGATTTTTTATTTTTAATTTTTTATAGGGGCTACACTGTCCAGTGTCAGTATTTTTAGTCTCAGATTTGTAATTCAACAAATTTATAGGATTGTTAACTGATTTGGAAATTTTAAGAATTATGTGTGTGTGTTTTTTTTTGTGTTGGCAAATGAAGAGCATTAATTCTGATGCCTTGGGTTTTTTCTTGTACTTTAAAAAAAAAAAAAAAAAAGAAGTTATTGTTGGGCAGATTAAGAATATATGTTTCACCTTAAAAAAAAAAAAAAAAAAAAAGAATATCTGTTTGTGTTGTCTTGTATTTTTTTTTGTTAGTTTTTTAAACTTTTTTTTTTATTGTCGGGCAACCCAAAATGTCTATTTCTAGGCCTTATCTTTTCCCCCAGATTTTTAGTCATTTGGTTTTGTTGGGAAGATTCAGAATATCTAATTCTGTTGCCTACATTTTTATTTTTATTTTTATTTTATTTTATTTTTTTTTATCTTTTTTGTTTTTGTTGGGCAGGTTAAGAACATCTATTTCTATTGCCTTGTGAATTTTTTGTCTGATTTTGACTGAATTAGTCATGTGTACATATTAGATAAAGTCTAAAATAGATTATTAGATATATCTGTGATTCTGTGTACATATTACTATGCTTGGTTCTTCATTTTTCCTGTATTTAGTGTTAACCTAGAATGAAATACATAATTTCATTAAATATATCAACTACAGTTTTACCATATATACATCGTACAATCTTCATAAATTGACTAATATCAAATTTTATTTATATAAAAGTATAACTACATTTAAAATATGGTCAGTAAAGGTACATGCATCCTGTTTGATACTTCTTTTCCAAGCTAAGTGATCCATGTATGCCCCTGGTTTATAATGTCATCGATATATTTGATTGCTGAAACTGGTATTATATTTTGATTATGTTACAGTTGTACTGTATGCAATGATTTTCTTGTAGTGCCTGAAATTTTGAGTAGGACAACAGAACAAATACAACCAAAGGAAAATCAGGAAAATTTAAGAATATAGAGAACACTTACTTAAAAGGACTAAAGTCCTTCTCCCCTTCCTTTTGAATTTCTTGACAGCCCTTGTTTGGATTGTTCACTTCATCACCTTGTGATGCTTCCTATAAAGGTAATCAAAATCTTAATTAGTATATGAATGAAATAAACAAAAGAATTATAAACAACATCAATATGGTAAGATTATGGTATTACCATATCTGATTCATCATCTGCACATTCTTCTATCATTTTTTATATAAGATCCTTTTCTTGATCAACACCAAGTGCAGAACAGTAAGCAATCATAATATTATCATCATGTAAAACCCTCATAATAGTAAAATCAGACTCATAGCTGTGCTTGTTTTCTTTCTTGATGGTAACTTTGAACACCATTGCCTTGCCAACTAATGTTTCCAGTTCAGTGGGAAATTGTTACCCTATATAAAACCAAAGATTCCAGTTCAGTGGGAAATTGTTACCCTATATAAAACCAAAGGAATTGTTTATGTTACTAACTGAAAATGCAGATAAGAATAATTTTTACAGGAAATGATGCAAATATGAATCTTACCTGTTCGTCATGGAAAATACATTCATTGCTCTTGTTTGTAGACCCTCCTCCCAGTTCAGGGACTTCGTATGTTCGGACCAGTCGGACTCTTTCTCTCCTCGTATGGAGAGGGCTAACCTGAGAGGCAAGAATGTATTGTGACGGCAGCTTTTCATTTGTGGGGTTCAATCTCGATTTACACCACTATTTATAGTACATTTTCAAATCTGAATAACTTTAGATAATTAAATGGTAGTTATTATTTACATTGGAGATTGAAGAGTTAATCATGCGGCATTAAATTGGTAGACTATTGGTATTCTCAATTAAATGTACATTAAAGGTTTTTTTATTTTTGAAACCTAATCTAAATAATGTTATTAATCTCTTATATACTCCGTATATATATTTTTTGAGAATGATGAAGCATGGTATGATAAATAAAGTCTGCGGCTGTGCGGATTCCAAAAACTATAATTATAAATTCAAATGAATCTCAAACATTTAATAGACACATGGAAATTCGCCTAAAGAGTTATCAAATGGCGTGTGCAGTACGTATTGAATACAGCAAAACGACGCAGTATTATTTGGGCGGAAATTTGACGTGATAAAAAGTTTTTGCTAAGATAAGATAAAATATAGAGTAAAATGGTGGTGGTGGTGGTGGTTGTGGTTGTTGTTGTTAGGAGTGTGCATTCGGACGGTTCGGACGGATCGGGTGACGGTTAGGCTCATCCGATCGGATTTCGGATATGTATTTTGACTACCCTATCCGTTTAAAATTGTTGACTTATCCGGTCGGTTATATCATTGTTTGGTTTGGATCGGATCGGTCGGATATCCGACATTATTTCGGTTATTAACAATTGTTGAAATCAAATAAAAAATTCATAAATTAAAATCAAAAGCACAATAATAAGTAACTGAAAGTCTGAAATATTGAATAAATAAGTAAATAATTAATAGAATGATAGTGTAATAGACTAATACCTGTAATACTAAGTTACTAAGTTAGTAATTAGTATTACTAAGTAGTCTATTAACTAACATTAAGAGTCTTAACTCTTAAGTGTCTAAGACTCCAAAAAAACTACAAATAGGTAGAGAACTACGAAGTAGTAAGAACTGTTACAGTCTTACAGACCAAAACTCTACAAAAGTACATACTACATACAAATTTACATACTACATACACAAATGTTTAAACTGAAGCACCACAAATACAAATTCAGCCAAAATCAGCAACTCAGCAACTCCTAGACTTTTAGAATTCAGACAATTAGACCTATTCTTCTTCCTGTGAATTGTGGCAAGTTAGTGTAAATAATTAGTACACAAGCAAGTAAGCAACTGAGCAAGCATTAGAAAATGAAAAACAGAGAAGGGATTATATAAATTTTGGCTAAGTAAGCATTTTTTCCATATCATTTAGATTAAGGGTCTATTGCTTCAATATACCATAAGTATAGAGCAACTGACCAACTTAATCCTTTCCTTTTCAGATTAAAGGTGGAAGCTTCATCATTGCCAAACTTGTCAACTTAAAGTGAACATACAGAATAAAATAGTCCATACATTACCAAATGCCCAAGGTACTTGAGGCAGCAACTTAGTACAAGTTACCAGGCCTTCATACTTACAGAGTTTGAGACTTACAGATGTCCAGTGTAATTGAGTCAAACACAGTTGGCTCAAAAAATAGCAAGTGAGATTATATTGTAATTTAGTTAAACAGTCAAATACTGTAAAAGATTGCAATAAAATCAAGTAATGTAAATAATAACATTACAGGAATTGTAGCAAGTGTAGAACCAAGAGACCTCCCACTTCCACCATCACCACTTAACTCTGCAAAATAAACAACAAAAGTTAAGTGTATTAATAATTTAAGCAATTTAAAATATAAGTATAAAGGATTATAAAGTTAAAACTAAAAAGTCATACCTTTTTCAAACCTCTCCAACTCTTCCAGATTCTCCTCAATACATAAAGGAGTATTTTGCATTCTAAGCCAATCTTGTGTACACACCAATGCTTCCACAATTTTTTGGAGTTAAAGAACTCCTAAAAGGATCCAATACTCTTCCAGAAGTACTAAGGCAGATTCTGAGGCTACAGTGGAGATTGGAATGGCTAGGACATCCCTAGCAAGCTTAGACAGAACTGGAAACCTAGTAGAGTTGATCTTCCACCATCCAAGTATATCAAAAGATTCTTCCTCTTCAACTATTCCCTCGCTCAAGTACATATCCAACTCAGTTTATTTCTTACCCCTAGACTCCAATCTTTGCTTTTTAATTGGGACTTCAGGAAATGTTGTGGCTTCCCAACAGAAACAGAAGAGGCAGATGTAGGCTGTACAGATACAGGCACAGAAGGGACAGGCACAGAAGGGACAGAAGAAGAGGCAGATGTAGAATAATCATCAAATAACTCAGCAAGACCAGCAACTACTTTGTCATAGAATGGTTTACCCTTTTCCTCACCATGCATATGATTAAACTGAGTAGGCAGATACTCTAACTTGTCTCTAGGGTCTAGAATGTTTGCAAAAAATATCATTAGATTCATTTTTTCAACATCACCCCAATACTTCTCAAATTTTGCCTTCATATTTTTCCCCATCACACCAACTGGACCACCAACTTCCACCATGCCTTTCAATAGGCAGTACAAATCAGAAATCTCAGTAAAGAATGTGTTTGAGGTGACATATAAAGAACCAGAAATTCTAATGGTCATGTCATAAAAACACTTCAGTAACTAAACCAGACTGCCAACAGATTCCCAGTCTATAAAATTAGGAATTGAATTACTCAAATCAGACTTGAAAGAGCAATCCTGCTCCAAAGATTCAAACACTTTTCGGTAAGTTAATGCAGACTGTGTTGGCAAAAATAGCTTAAAATGACATAAAATGGCATGTTAAGTGGCTATTTGTGGTACAATTATCAGTGGGGTCCACTTCTGATTTGGATCGGGTCAAAGTGGATTCGGATTTTTCGTAGTGAGACGAAGAGATCAATATATTGTACGCTCAAAACGGATAATGGGTGAATGAGATATTGATTCTCAAAGTAGACCCATTTGAGTTGGAAAATGAAGGGAAAAAGTGGCTTTTGTCCCACATTGCTTTGGAATGAAGATTTTTCCCCCTTATATACAAGAGCTCTTTTGAAGCTTGTAGAATTGTATAGCATAGAGGCTCTCTCGCGGGGGGGGGGGGGGGGTGCAAATCAAATTCCAACTAGACGAGATTGAAAAAAGGCTTGATTTAAGCCCGAGCTCGTGTCATGCCACTTGTAGTTTCGGCTCAGAGCCGAAACTGAACAGCAGCCATATACGGCCGAAAAGTTCTGACTGTTTGAATTCTGAATTCAATTCCCAGGTAGTGGCCTGCTGTTATAGCTGTTGGAAGGCAGCTTTAATGTCATTTTCCCAGGTAGTGGCCTGCTGTTATAGCTGTTGGAAGGCAGCTTTAATGTCATTTTTAATTGCCATAATAAAGGCTATTGGCTCCTTCAACCCTATATAAAGAGGGTAGAGGCAGTAGAGTTTTACACACACAGAAAATATAGAACACGAAAGTTCATCTTTTAGCCTCAAAACCTCTCTGCTTCTACTCCTTCTTTAGCCTCCTGTGTTCATAGCCGTGTCTTGCTCGCCAGATTCCTTGTTTGAGTGCTCAAACATTGAATCACTAGCAAGTTTTATCCTGGGAAGCCTAGGCCACAACGCTCCTAGCATCTTTGGGAGGTGGCAAATAAGGTTTTAAGGAAAGAGTGCTCACTCGACTCTTGCAAAAACCCAACACCAAACACTAGCCATTTTTTCTCCATCTTTCCTTCCCTATTCTTTTCAGAAAATAATAGTCATATTTTATTTAATTATTATTTGTTTTCTACCAACGGTTCTAACAGACTGCAACATCAAATAGGTAGAGTTCCATCTGGTTGGAACATCTAAACACAAAGAAGACCTTTGTTCAATACTCAACCAATCAACCAAATCCCTGAACTTCTTGAGTCTAGCAGGAGAGTTTCTAACATATCTAACCACTTCCCTAACCTTCTTAACAGAACTATCACAATCCTTAAGACCATCTTGAACTACTAGGTTTAAGATATGGGCAATACATCTCATGTGAAGATACTTTGCCCTCACAGTAGATGATCCCCAAGACACCAATTTTTTCTTCAGAAACCCCATAACAGTGTCATTTGATGAGGCATTATCAACAGTCACAGAAAACACATCACTAAGCCCCCACTCAAGCAAATAATTTTCTAGGGCTTTAGCTAGATATTCACCTTTGTGAGAGGTAACAGGGACAAATGCAAGGATTTTCTTATGAAGCTTCCACTCAGAATCAATGTAATGGGCAGTAACTACCAAGTAGTTAATTCTTTGGATGGATGTCCAAGAATCTGTAGTGATACTAACCCTATGACTGCTTCCCCTTAAAAATGACTTCAATTTCAGTCTCTCCTCTTCATAGACAACTAGGATGTCCCTACTTATAGTCCACCTGGATGGAACTATAAACCTAGGGCAAGCAATATCTATGAACCTCCTGAAACTTATTTCCTCCACAAACCTAAAGGGCAATTCATCTATGATTATCATTTCAACCAAGGCCCTCCTTATTGACTCTTAATTAAAAACCCAAGTCCCTATTTCTCCCACAGTAGGCTGACCATCTGTAAGTGATGTAACAGCCTGAAATGTTAACAGGGAGTGCCTAGTTTCCTTAGAGTGAGGATTTTTCAAACAACTAACCATGTGATTTCTTAAGGAAGAAGTCCCATGTTTTTTGTCTCACAGTGGTAAATTTTGGCACAATAAATGGATTTGCCTTTTACAACCACATTATTAGTGTCCTTTATCATCTCAAAATGATCTCACACTGGTGATGTGGAAGCAACCTGTTTCCTCTTCTTGGCTGGAACAGCAGTAGGAGGTTGCTCATTCTGTTGATTCTCAACAATTTGGGCTTCCACCCCTGAAGGTCCATCAATTGAGGAGTTGGGAGGTTGACTACCAGGCATACTGATATTATCCATCTAAAAATGGTGAACTATCAATACACACAGCAGGATTCATAAGCATTCCAGAATCAAACACATTTTGTGTCATCATTAAACAGGAATGCATAATTAATTAAAGGGAATTATTCAATACAAAATTACAAATATACAAATACAATTAAGGGAACATCCATAAACTTATAAGAAATCCAGATTCAGGGATATATTTTAAATATCCAGATGAATCAGAGACTGTTATAACATAAAAACAGCTCATTTCATCAACATCATTATAAGGATTTCTATGGGGCTTCCACCAATTTAAGCCTTTAAGAGACATTATAAGTTTATAACACTCTAATTTATAAGACTCTTATAAGTTATAACAGTCAGTGCTTCCACCAGAATATGAATAAAAGTTATGAAATCAAGATACAATTTGGAACTTCTCAACAGATTGACTTAATCACAGTCCACAGAAATCAAAGAATCATAGAAACCATAATCAAGTATCATAACATCACAAACAAGCGACAAGTGATATACAATCTGGAACTTCTCAACAGATTGACTTAATCATAGTCCACAGAAATCAAAGAATCATAGAAACCATAATCAAGTATCATAACATCACAAACAAGGGACAGGTTAAATACAATCTGGAACTTCTCAACAGATTGACTTAATCACAGTCCACAATTCAAATTTATCACAGTGACACAGTCAGTGCTTCCACCAGAAATCCAGAATGTCAAACAACATATCACACATTCACAGATTCTGAAATCAATTTTATAACACTAGGGTTTTAATAAAAAGTCAGTGATTCCACCACATTATCACAAATAAACTCAGAGCAATATGCCAATAACTTTAAGAAATAACTTTTACAAAACTAGGGTTTGCAGTAACAACTAACAAAGTCAGTGCTTCCACTACAATATCACAGAGACCACATAATACATCACAATAAATTTAAGAACTGCAAATATATAAAAATAAGGTCAGCGAGTTACTTCTTTTCTCACAAATACCCCGGAGAATGAGGGCTTCAGGCCTTCAGTTTACTGGAAGTCGACGACACCACTAGTCCACCACATCACCACGTCCACGACCACCACAGCACCACTACACCAGTCAGGGTCTCAGGGCTTCCACCAGTGACCAATGTTTCGTCGTCTATAACAGAACCAACCGGACAAGGAGAGTATAGACTACAAAGAAGGTAGTCTTTGTCTAGTAGAGAAGAGAGAACTGAGGAGTGAGGACTAAAATCACAAGGTGCGACTGCGCAGAGAACCAGAGAAAACTCAGAGAATGAGAGAAGACAGAAGAGAAGCTCTCGTCTGGAAACCCTAGCAAGAGAAGAGAATCAAGAGACTGACTGCGCAAATGAGAAGTTCTCCGTAACAACATATATATATATATATATATATATATATATATATATATATATATATATATATATATATATATATATATATATATATATATATATATATATATATACTAAGCCTAAACGACGTCGTATTGCTATCTACGTACACAACCCTAGTATTAATCGGGTATTCGGACGGATCGGGTGTATTTTTTACCCACCCTACTCGAATGCCGTAAACCGACGTCGTTTTAGATGTCGGTTCGGTGAATTGGGTAGCGGTTCGGTTCGGTTTGTCTTGGTCGGTTCGCGGTTCGGTCGATTTTTTCGGGTTGTTCGGATTCTGCTCAGCCCTAGTTGTTGTTGTTGTTGTTGTTGTTGTTATTATTATTATTATTATTATTATTATTATTATTATTATTATTATTATTATTATTATTATTATTATTATTATTATTATAAGGATTAGTTAACAATGACAAAGTTGGATTAATTCAAGGTAATCTAAAATTAATTAAAAAATGGAGGTAATCACATTACCTTGAAAATTATCGCCACATCAGTTTAAGGTAATATAACACTCCTAGAGTCTTAGGTAATCTTATAACTTGAACAAATCAACGTAATATAATATTACTAGATTAGAAAAGTAATCTAAGGGTGTGTTTGGAAACCCGGAAAATGATTTCTGGAAATCATTTTCCGAGTTTTTGGTGTTTGGCTAGGCAAGGAAAAGAGAAGTCAAAGGAAAATAACTTATGGTCAATGGAAAATCACTCCTCTTTTCCGGAAAATGACTTCCCCTTTTTTTTGGGGGAAGTCATTTTCCATTATTTGGTTTTGCTCATCGCCATTGCATCAACACGACAACACCAAAGACCATCGCCGGAGACATCGCCACTGCTGGAGGTTCATCCCCTCGCCACCGTTGATCTGCTCGTCACCGTCATTGATCTACCCATCGCCGTCGTCGATCTGCCCGTCACCGTCATTGATCTACCCATCGCCGTCGTCGATCTGCCCGTCACTGTTGAGGAAGATTGAGGAAGAAACCCAGGTCCGTCCGGTCACCGCCTACCACCATCGCTACTGGTCGAGAAAATAATAAAGAGGGCGACGGAGGTTCAAAGGACTGTTGCTTCGCCGAATCGCCGCCGAATTTGCTATCCACCACCGCCTGGGAGAATAAAGAAAGAAAGACGTCCACCATAACTATCGAATCCACCGTCGCCGAATTTGTTGTCCACCACCATTTCAAATTTCAATTTCAATTTCACAATTCTGCTGCCCACCACCACCAGAAATCAATTTCACCATTTCTAATTTCAATTTCAACTTCACAATTTCTAATTTCAAATTCAACTTCACAATTTCTAATTTCAATTTCAACTTCACAATTTCTAATTTCAATTTCAACTTCACTATTTCTCATTTTGTGCCTTGTTTATGCATACTGATATGTTAAATAATGATAATTTTGTTTTGAGTTTGTCATTTTTCTACTCATTTTCTGGAAAATGAACCAAACACATAAAGACAGTTTTCTGTTGGGTAGCCAAACACCGGAAAGAAAAATATTTTCTAAAAAAATACTCATTTTCCTGAAAACATTTTTCAAAAGTCATTTTTCTACTTTCCAAACGGACCCTAAAATTACCTGAACCAAACGTCTTTTTAAGGTACAAAATTTCATAATATTATACATAAAACTTATAACATGAAATACATACACATGCACTAGAGTCTACAGTTAACCGTGAAATACTGAAATTTGATCGGATTGCGGTTTCCGTGGTGACTCCAAATTAATTTATTGGATTGAAAAGAATATAGACAAAAGACGATAGTCCAGTTTTATTGGGTAAAGTGTTCAATGCTGAAGATACTTAAATTAATGGAACCGACAATTCTAAAGCCCAAAGAAAGACCCAATTGGCAGTACAGTTTTACGATTTATCGTCCCCCAACAACCGCCGTCGGTGAATCGGCTCCCAAACCGAAACTCCGGCGAACCTAACCAAAAAAATAAAGTGTACATAGAGCCTGAGCTCAATATCATCGTATATTCTCCACTTCCCGGTAAGGGAATCTGGCGTCCGATATCTGGAAACGCTTATTCCCTGCTCGATCGAGGAGGCCATCGGGGTTGGTTTTGCCTCGATACGGACCGGTCCGGCTATCTACTGCCTCCGCTCCAATGGATATGAACCCCTTCCGGCTATGTTCCGGCCTCAGATTCCTAGGCTATTTCATGATCGTCATCGTTTTAGCAATTGTAGCTGTCTCCTATTACGCCGTTGTTATTGTTACCTGGGGCCCTCACCTCCTCGACGGCGGCTCCCACTCCTTCTTCTCCTTCACCATTCTCACTATCTTTCATATCCTCGTAAGCCTCCTCGCTGATATTTTTCTCCTTCAACTATCAGATGCATTCACTGTTGTTTTCCTTACCGGAATTAATAGATAGTGTTGGTGGCGTTCGTTAACTTAATTAGCTTGAATTTGTTAATTCGTTTTTGATACTTAATTAACTGTGTTATTGGTTTTCATGAGCTTGCGTATGAAAAATATAGAAAATTATGAGTATATGAGGAATAAAGAGTGGTAGTAAGAAATAAAAAAAAAAAATTATGAACTTGGGGATAGTTATTTCTATGGTCTGCTTTTTTTCAAAAACTATAAGTTGGCATTGTTAACCTATTGTGTTGGATGTTTACTGGGTAGGCACAGATTAACCCTATTCCAATGGTAATATGGAAAACTAATGCCTGTGGATTTGTAGCCTTCACTAAATTTGTACTCACCATGCAGCTTGTATTGCTATCATGGAGCTACATTAGGGTAATCCTTCAGGACCCTGGTTCTGTTCCAGAAAACTGGAAAGTAGTACCAGAGCAGAGTGTAGAGGAGGGCTGTTCAGTGTCGTTGCCTGCTTATGCAGGACCCGAGAATTTGGCCTCTGCATCATCATCATCTTCAGGCACAGGAGAAAGAAGACAGGCTGTAGGATTTTGCAGTCATTGTCAAAATGGCAAACCACCTCGCTGCCATCACTGTTCTGTTTGTATGCTCACTTTAACAATTTACTTTTTATATTGGCAATAAGATGCATATGAATTCGTTTTCTCATCTTCAATGTTAGTATTTGCATTTTTTTTGTTTGAGGAACCGGAGGTTTCTGTTGACAGAGCCTGAGGTGCTTGTATGTCTTAAAGGCAATCCATGGTTAAACGACAGAAATTTATGTTCCTTGCAGGCCAGAGATGTGTTCTCAAGATGGATCACCACTGCTTATGGGTTGTAAACTGCATTGGGGCTTGGAACTACAAGTTTTTTCTTCTCTTTGTGGTTCGATGTTCTCCCAAGAATATGAAAATCTAGATGGTTGATGAGAAGCATATATTTTCCCAGATTTTGTTTTCTTCAATACATATGGAGATTTTTTTTTTTATTTGTGATCAATAGTCTCTCATATCCCGTTCTCGAACTCCACCTTGTCTTAGGGGATCCCATAAAGAAGGCCTCCACCTCTCCATTTGTTTGCATACAAAATGGAAGGCTAAATGCCTGCCTAACTGTTAGTTTTGCTAGCCAAACACTTTTTTTTTTTTTTTTTTTTTTTTTTTAATCCTGTGACATTTTACATGCTTTGAAACCCAAATTCTTTCTACCATTATCATTTCACGGTTTTCTATTTGACAAGCTTTTAAGAAACTTTGCTTTCCAGTTTCCACAATCACCACTCTTTGGTTTTCTATTCAACATGCCTTTTTCAATCGATATCCATAGAATTTCATTTACACAAGCAAAGAAAATATATTTATTACATTGGTGTGTTAATATTGTAGTTTGATATGCTGTATAGATTTACACATTTTTGGAGACAACACTGGATACTTTGGTGCTGCTGCCAAGTTTTATAGAATTCTTCAAAAAATCCAAGCATCACTCTTTCTCGCCAGGCAATCTTGCTATCATTTTTCTGGCCTTTGGTAAACTTTCTTCACAATGTCTGTCATTGTTACACCTTATAAATATATATATTTCTCATTCTTTCCTTATTTCTTACAGATTTTACCTTGGTGCAGTTTTAAATCTAGCGTTTGCACTCAGCCTTCTTTGTTTCGTAGTTATGCATGCATCTCTTGTCTCCAGCAACACCACTTCAGTGGAGGTTTGTTGGATGTTTTTCAAATCTTTCTTCAATTTGAAATTGAATGTGACGATATTTCTACAGTTATGCTAATAGTTACCACATATGGAACATTGAATATTTTCCCTTGTTAGCCTCATCTGTATTTTTTGATGATCAGTTATAGATCCATGGTTAACATAGAAAAGAAAAGGGAAGGGAAAAAAAATTACAGTATTATGGTATAATATGGTGAATTGAGTATTAATATTGCACATCTGTTAATGAATGGAGCCTGATTTTATTAGTGACTTGTGAAATTGATTTAAATCCTTTAAAGAATATGTGAAAACCACAGGTTCTGACTCATAATCATGGTGAACATTTACTGTGTTCCTCTCTGATGTTTCAGGTTTATGAAAAGAAAAGAAATTTGCGATGGAAGTATGACCTGGGGTGGAAACAGAATTTTGTGCAGGTGAGATACATATTGATGATTCTTCTCATTTATGTTTCCTCTGAAAGAAAATAAATTCATGAATTGAACTATTGCCCCTATTGCTGACAAACTGACTGCAGTGTCACTGTTTTTGATTCTTAATTGTTATTCTTCATTATACTAAAGATTCATTTCCTTACTTTAGCAACTTGACAATGGTTGATAATTTAACCTCAAGTAAATAAATTGCATCTTTACCCCGTGGTTTGATGACATCACTATTACCATTCCAAATGGAAGGTCACATGTTCGAGTCCCATCCCAATCAAGGATGTTGAACAATACTATGGATAGGTTAAACTGTAGTTGCCAATGACCTTGTGGTCTAATGGCACGAAGTGGCTCTCGCATATGGGAGGTTATGGGTTCGAGCCTCAGTGGAGGTGATATTGACTATTTGTGCTTCAGTTGGGTGAGAATGAATAGATACTACATTGTAATAGACTTCAGTAGTACTAAAAAAAGGTTAAATTGTAGTCACCAAAAAACAGCATAACTTGTTTTGTTATCTAGCAAGTAATATTGTGATAGCCTGGCCTCACTAACACTTGAGACCTGTTGTACCTGTAAGGTTTTTGGGAGTAGCAAGGCATTGTGGTTTTTGCCATTATTCTCAAAGAAAGATTTGGAGAGCATCCCTGCACTGAATGGGTTGGAGTTCCCGGCACGCCCGGATGTTGAAGAGTGAGAATCTCAGATCCAGCTAAGGTAACATGCATGCAGCAGAAGCTTGTTGTATAATTGTGTTTCTTGATTTCGTCAATGACTTGTTTGTTGTTTGTATTTACACTTTCATGTGTGTATCTTGCAAGTTTGAATATGTATATTCTGTAATCTGTAGTGTGTACTATGATATATGATAATGATGTGTTTGTGGTTTGCCAGTTTGCCAGTTGCCAGTTGCCTGTTGCCACCCACCTTCACTAAATATAGAGTCGCGAAGGTAGTGTGTCAACGTCCCAAATTTAATTGAAAATCAGACTAAAATCTGCACGACCTGATTGATACCTTTCACAGCTGGTTGACAGTTGATAACATGTGTTGCGTGGTTTTGGTTTCATATTACAAATCGTGTTGCAAAAATCTCGTCTGGACACTGATTAATTTAGGCGCTAGACGCTAGGTGTTGGCCGGTTACCTAACATATCACCATAATTGATGGTCTAGGCGGTTGTCTGGTTAGGCGACCGACCTGACATTCTAGATACCGATTAGGGCGCCTAGACACCACTTAGGTCGCTTGGTATGCCAATTAGTTATTGTTCTCTTTGTTTTTAAATGGTTATTTCATTCAAAACGATATCATTTTAAGCCAAATAACCTTTAAATTGTTCAAACGCTAAATGTTTTTAAGGTTAATATTTAATATTTTAATTTTAATTATTAAAGTATTAAATAGTTTATAATTATTAAGTTTTAAAAATTATAAAAATTATAAATAAATTTTTTAAAAATAAAAAATACACTAACACTTATGCGCTAAGCGTCTTAAGCACTTATGTGCTAAGCGTCCTAAACGTTTTTCATTGTCACAACTGAAAGACATTAAATTGGAGACTCTGCTATAATGACTTCCCCCTTTCTCCTATATATATTAGCTCTTATCTTTTATTCAAATATAAGAGGTCGTAGTTTTTCAATGTTGGCATCATTGAATTGGAGAATACTATGATTAACCCACGTCATCCGCAATCAATCAATTATTATCCGGTGAACCATGGTGATTCGTCACATATCAAATATGAAATTGTAATAAAATTAAAATGATATTTTAATGTTATTATAATAAAGTTATTGTGTGGTTAAAATGAAACTAAATAGTAGAGTTAATACAAATGTGTATATTGTTAAATGAACATGTAGTAAAATTATAATGATACTTTAGTATTGTTATAAACTTATAATGAACCCTGAATAGCAGAGTTCATACAAATATGTATAATTTAAATGAACGTGTTTTGGAATTAAAATGATACCTTAATATTGTTATAACGAATTTATAGTGGAGACTAAATTGTAATTAAAATGATGCGCCAATGTTTTATAATGATATTAGTATGTTTGGAAAATGAAACTAAAACAAAGCTTATACTATGGTTCACAGTGCTACATAGACCATGGTCTACAAAAAAATTTGTCATCCACAATACTAAATTAAAACTTTACCTGATAGTTACGTTGAATTATACATTAGTATTTTATATTATATGTTAAACATAACCTTGTTAATATTTATAGTTTTCTACTACTAGCTAGCCTCTAGTGCACCGCAAATTATGCTGTGGAAACGTGTTCACCATGCGCATGGTAAACACAGGGCAGATTCATAATTTCTATGCTGTAGATTTATAAATTTTTTTTCATTTGTTGTTACGACGTTTCTCTCTTTGCAATCGCATTATTTTGTCTTTGCAGTACAGATATTATGAATCTACAATATAGAAATTATGAATCTACAGTATAGAAATTATGAATTTAGAAATTATGAATCTACAGTATAGATGTTATAAATGTACAGTATAAAAATTATGAATCTATAGCTTAGAAATTATGGATCTATCTCGTGTTCACCATGCACATGGTGAACACGGTTCCACAGCATAACTATTGCTAGTGCACACCGCACACGGAGCCTTTTATATCAGTAATCTGTTGCATAATGGGTTCCAATTGTTATACCCTGCACCACGGCGCACAGTGCACTGTGCGCCCCGCGCCTCCCAAAACGACGTCGTTTTGGGAGGCGCGGTAGGAAGTTGACATGATTATGTATATTTGTTTATAAAATTATGTATATTTTTTATTATGTACATTTTTATACAATTATGTACATTTTTTTAATACAATTATATACATCCGAATCAGGAAATTTTTGTGTATTATGTTAAGAGTTGATGTGTATTATGTTAAAAGTTTATGTTTATTATGTATTATGTTAGATTATGTGTGGTAGGATAAATCCCGACCGATGTCGCCACGTGTGCTCTGCTTGATCGGGGAGTTGCTTACGACCGTTTGCTCTTGCTCAAGTCATCTCGACCGCTCCTTTCTTCCCAACCGCTTCGCCCGACCCGTCATTTTCTCGATCCCTTTACCTTAGCGCCGGTGTTAGGAAGGAGACACGTGTCAGCGACCAAAAGGCTAGTCTTATGTGATGACACGTAGAGGACGCGTGTATTGCATGCCGACACCGATTAATGCTATAATACTAATCAAGGACGAGGATGAGGGGACTTTTGGAAGATTAAAGATACCTGGTTCAGAGCTGCCTGACCGCCGTCAGTCGGCCCTCGTGCTAGGTTACTTAGACTACTCCTAGGTCCACGTGTATTAACACTATCAATGTGTATTATCTTTTAAAAAAAAGTATATGTATTTTGTTATATAATTATGTACATTCATGTATACAATTATGTGTATTCTAGTATAACATTATGTACATTTTTTAACATGAGATTTTTTTAAGGACAATTAACTTTCAAACACTGGGTAGGAAAATTTCAAAAAAATAAAATTAAATTAAAACGACGTCGTTTTGCATCTAGGCGCACAATGCAACGCGCGCTGTGGTGCAGGATATAAATTGCCTAATGGGTTCCATTACATTGAAAATCATACTAAAATCAATTAAAAAGATTGAGCCCATAACGTTGGAATAGTAAAAATATATTTTAATTTCAAATAATATCCAATAAATTAAGGATCATATTAGAAATTTAGAAAATGACTTTTGAACAGTGTTGCAAAAATTTCGCCTAGACACCGATTAATCGCCGCCTAGGCGCTAGGTGTTGGTCGGTTGCCTAGCGTATCACCATAATCAGTGGTCTAGGCGGCTAGCCGGCTAGGCAGGCGACTAGGCCGCCTAAGTGCCGCCTAGGCCGGGTAGGCGCTGACCGCTTAGGGACCGACTAGGTCACCTAGTTGGCCGATTATCTATTGGTCCCTTCTTTTATTAATGGCTTATTTTACTCAAAACGACATCGTTTTGAGTGAAATAATCCTAAATCATTCAAACTATAGATGTTTTTTTAGGTTAGTATTTAATATTTTAGTATTAACTATTAAAGTATTGAATAGTTTATAATTATCAAGTCTTTAAAAAATTTAAACAAATTTTTAAAAAATAAAATATACACGGGCGCCTAGGCGCCGATTAATCCCCGCCTAGGCGCTAGGCGCTCCCCGACCGCCCGAGGAGCGCCTAGTGATTTTTTCAACCATGCTTTTGAAAGTCATTTACAAAAATTTTTTAGTGTTTGGGAATTAAGATAAATAAATCAAAGAAAAATATTCATTATGGTCAACGGTAAAAAAGGCTCAATTTAGCCGAAAATATCTTCCTACATATTTAGTTAGGAAGATGACACTTTTTCCTACTGTGTTATATACTTATAGCATTTTTTCCCATAAATTATTCAAATGGCAGTTTTTTCCCCTAAATTATTTAAATAGCAGTTTTTTTCCCTAATATGTTAAATAGACATATTTACCCTTAAAATAAATATTTCATTTATTTTTCTTCTCCAACAAATTATAACCACGATTTGGTTCAAACCGAACAGACATTATAGCAACCAAACAGAGAGGTTATGAGGACAATTTAGAACTGGAATCCAATATTTAGAGTTTATTAAAATTGCGAACCGAAACTGCCAGCTCATGTTCTGAATTGAAAAAAATAAAATACATTAATTTTTGATTTTAGAATATTTTAAAAATAAAAAATAAAATTTTAAAAGAAAGTTTGAACCAGCAGTTCAAATTGGATCTGAAACCGTGAATTGACGGTTCGAAATTAAAACCAAATCACAGTTATATATATACATATATGTGAGAATCAGAATAAATGTGAAAAAGAACATAGACTATTTACAAATATTATAATTCTAATTTTAAGTTAATGCTAGTAGTTGTTTCGATTTGAACCTCCGGTTCACGGTTCACGATCCATCTTTTCAGTTCATGATTTTCATAAACGGAAACCCAAATATTAGGTTATGGTTCTGAATCATAACAAAAAATTTCGATTTGATTCCTATAGTGTCTGGTTAAGTTCGAACCGAACCGTGGTCATCCCTACGTATAAGCAATACTTTGTTGAAGAAGAGAAATAAATAAAATATTTATTTTAAGGATAGAAATGTCAATTTAATATATCAAGCAGAAAAACTGCCACTTTTATAATAATTGAGGGAGCAAATGTAGATGCATGAATACCTCAGGGAGAAATAGTGCTATAAACATATAATTCAGGGGGAAAATGTCATTTTCCTTTTTAGTTGGAAGACATTTCCTGGATTAATTATTTTTCGAGTTAATTACCGAAATGGTCCCTTGACTATAGCGAAATTATCAATTTGGTCCTTGACTATTTTTTTTGACCAATTAAGTCCCTCAACTTTAAAAATCTTAACCAATTTGGTCCTTCGTTTGGTTGACCGTTAGTCAACCATTAACTTGGGGCCAAATTTATAATTTCGCTATAGTCAATGGGCCATTTCAGTAATTAACTTTAGGAGTGGGCAATTCGGTTCGATTTTCCCGAACTGAACTGTACCGAACAGACGGTAATATACCGAACAACCGAACGCTATTGGATTCTTGTATACCGAATTTCAAACGGTATTCGGTTCGGTTTGATTTTTACTGAATAATTTCGTTCGGTTTGAGTTTTTACCAAACCGTTCGGTATACAAGAATCCATTACCGTTCGGTTGTTCGGTATATTACCGAATCAAACTAGTTTGGTACGGTTCGTTTCGAGAAAACTGAACCGAATTGCCTACCCCTAAAGTTAATTACCGAAACGGTTCCTTGACTATAGCGAACCAATTTGGTCCCAAGTTAACGGTTGACTAACGGTCAAACAAACGTTGGACCA